AGGGCTTGAACTTAGGGCCTGGGTGCTGTCCTTGAGCTTCTTTTTGCTCAAGGCTAGTGCTCTACCACTTTGAGCTGCAACATCACTTCTGGGTTTTTCTGAGTACTTAATTGTAGATAAGAGTCGTACCTACTTTTCTGACCCGGCTGGCTTCAAACCATGATCTTCAGATCTCAACCTCCAGAGTAGATAGCATGACAGGTGTGAGCCACCAGCGCCCAATTCCAAAAGATAGCTTTGAAGGTAGGACTAAGGCTATTCTGTGGATACCAGCTTTCTCAGTCTACCTGTAGCCTCCTCGGTTGTCTTCTGAATTTCCAAGTCTTACAGTTGCAGCCTAGACTATCAGATCACAAATGACAGGTAGTTTGTGCACAGGGTAAAAGTCATCATTTTGTTTTTCTTCCCCAAGACCAATTTGTAAGTCTCATCTTCTACCACGGTGATTTACTGACCAGAGGGTCACACATCTGTCAGCTGATAAGATATGAGTAGCTATTTCCCATATATTCCGCCATCTGAGCTAACACAGCTGTTTCTGGCTTGTCCAAGCCTTCAGTCTCCTGGGTCTCTGGATAGTCTTCAGGAGAAATCCTCTCCTAGGACCCAGATGCTCAGGAATCAGAGAAATTCTGACAGTCATTCTAAAGACCACACCAAGGAGATGTCCCCCGCAGGTTCCCCTCCTCCAGAAAACTTCCTGAGGTTTTAAGAACTAATGTTACAGCACCGGTGGCTCATGCCTGTCATCTTAGCTACTCAGGAGGCTGAGATCTGAGAATCATGGCTCAAGGCCAGCCTAGGCAGGAAAGTGCATGTGACTCTTATCTCCGATGAACCACTAGAAAACTGGAAGGGAAGCTATGGCTCAAAGTGGTAGAGTGCTAGCCTTGAGCAAAAGAACTCAGGGATAGTACCCAGGCCCTGAGTTTAAGCCCCATGACCAATTAAAAAAAAAACAAACTAATGTCATATAGTCATCTACATACCATCCTCTTTTTATTTTTATTGTGTGTGTGTGTGTGTGTGTGTGTGTGTGTGTACTGGAGTTTGAACTCAGGGCTAGGGTACTCTCTCTTAGCTTCTTTACTCCAGGCTGGCACTTGACCACTTGAGCAACAGCTCCCCTTCTGGCTTTTTGTTGGTTCATTAGAGATAAGTCTCATGGACTTTCCTGACCCCACTGGCTTCAGGCCATGATCTATAGATCTCAGCCTCCTGAGTAGCTAGAATGACAGATGTGAGTCTCCAGTACCCAGCTACCATCTTTAAAACTTTTTATTTATTTATTTTTTTTGGCTGTTCCTCAGCAGGGTTACCTTGACCGTCTTAGGCCAACTCTAGAGAAATCTCCTTGGCTGTTTTCCGTGTGTTGTTTGCCAGTCCTGTGGTTTGGACTTAGGGCCTGGCGATGTCCCTAAGATTCTTTTGCTCAAGGTTAGAGCTCTACTACTTGAGCCACAGCTCCACTTCGGGGTTTTTGTTTTGTTTTGGTAGTTTATTGGAGATGAGAATCTCACGGACTTTCCAGCCTGGACTGCTTTCAAAACCTGATCCTTAGATCTTAGCCGCCTGAGTAGCTAGGATGACAAGCGTGAGCCACCAGCGCCTGGCTAAACCTCCTCCTATAACTCATTATCTTCTAATCAGCCCAAAGTTTGCTCACTTGTTTCTCAGCAAGGACTGACTTTGCTTGGCATGTTTGCTCATTTCCTATCCATACATTCCCCTGTTTTCTGACTTTGTCTCTAGCAATGGCCATGAATTGGATAAATCGAGATTTTTTCTAAGCTGGGAGTCATACAGTACAACTAAGATGGCGGTCCTCAGACTACAGGCCAGCACCCCTTCCCAACCCCCCCCCCCCCCCACCAGCACTCAGGCAGGCTTGGCCCATCAGACACATCAGTAAACAATAAAAAGCTCCAAGCATCCATCAGCAAAACCACAAAAAGCCCATCTAGACCTCCAGTGGCTAGTTCAACTCAGAGTACACAAGTTCAGTAGCATTCTTCATGCACCATGCGTTCAGCCACAGAAATCCGACTTTCCTCCTTCCAAATGAATGGAAGGCAAAATTCTGAGACGAGCCTTCCAGGCACACTTACCCAACAACCATACAGACAAAAAGAAAAAGCCCCAAACCCAAAACTTCCCTAACTTTCCCACACTTAGGAACTTACATCAGCAGAGATTTGAATAAATGTTTTAAAAAATGGAATTCCCTTGATACGCTGTAATCAGTAAATGTTCATTATGGAAACACAGCTAATATGCATGAAATTTCCCCAGTGATATTCCAGCTACAAGATTAAAAAAAAAAAAAGGCATCTCACATAGCAAGCAGAGTGACAAAGCACCCTCCTCCCGTCACTACCCCACAACACCTTGCCAAACCTGAGGTCAGACAAGCCGGCTCTCTATTCCTGACTGGGAGCCAGGGAAAAGTAGATCTCATCTCTCTCTCTCTTTTCTTTTTGTCCACTTAGACAACTTATAAATGACTCCTCCCTTCTTCAATGCTGATGGATGCCTTTGTATAAATAATTCATACTTGACCTTGCTTTAAGAAAGCTTTGTCTATTTAATTTGGGATCTTTTTTTTTTTTTTTTAAATCGATACCTAGGGAACGTAACTCAGGCTTGCACAGTCTGATTCTGGGTGAATAAATAAGTTGTGTGTTTCTTGCGTTCTAGGGCCACTGGGACAGGAGATGGAGGAGGGGTGTCAGACAGAGATTTTCTGTGTTCAAATGCTGTAAGATTACCAGTCATGGTGTTATTGCTCAGTCTCTTTGCTGTCTGTGTGTTATCATTTCTGTGAATAAATCCACTGAGCGTGCTCACACACCACCCAAAGGTCCCAGCCACAGGTGGTAGAATGTGTGTGTGTGTGTGTGTGTGTGTGTGTGTGTGTGTGTGTGTGTGTGTGTGTTGGTACAGGGGATTGACCTCAGGGCCTGGGCACTGTCCCTTAGCTTTTTCCACTCAAGGCTGGTGCTCTATCACTTGAGCCACACTTTTACTTCTGGGTGGTCAGTTGGAGAAAAGAGTCCCAGAAACTTTCTTGCCCCAGGGTGGCTTTCAATGGAGATTCTCCTACCTCAGCCTTCTGAGTAGCATGACCATTGTGGCTCCTTCCTGTGGCTGATCTATCTTCCTTACCTTTGAGATAGGGACTGGGTTAGGGCAATCCATGGTAGGTTGAGGAATTTCCAAGCAGGTTTTGCTACTTCTACAACAGAGATTTACTCAGCCTTGGGCCAGGACAAGTCAATTCCACAAGCGCAGGTTAAGGGTCAAGGTAAAATCAGAAGTGAGCCCCAAAGCAAAGCAGACTTGGAAGTGTGGGCCATGAACATCCAGGGAGATGAAGAAAAGGTTAACCTGTCACTTCTTCTTCTGCCCCAGATCCAATCCACTCTGAGCTGTGTGTGTGTACATATGCACATATGCATGCACGTCAGTCCTGGGATTTGAACTCATGGCCTGGGAGCTGTCCCTTTGCTTTTGTGCTCAAAGCTGGAGCTCTATCATTCAAGCCCCGAATCTACTTCTAGCTTTTGTCTCTTCTCTTTTCCTTTCTTTTCTTTTCCTTTCCTTCCTTTCTTTTCTTTCTTCCTCTCTTCCTCCCTTTCTTTTCTTTCTACCTTCCTTCCTTCCTTCCTTCCTTCCTCGGCCTCTGTCCCTCTCTTCCTCTCTTTCTCTCCCTTTCTCTTTCTTTCTTTCCTTTTTTCCTTCCTTCCTTCCTTCCTTCCTTCCTTTCTTCCTTCCTTCCTTCCTTCTTCCCTCCCTCCCTCCCTCCCTTCCTTTCTTCCTTCCTCTTTTTTTTTTTTTTGTGTGGTTCATTGGATATGAGTCTTGTAGACTTTCCTGCCCTGGTTGGCCTCGAACTGTGATCTTCAGGTCTCAGCCTCCCTGAGTAGCTAGGATGACAAGTGTGAGCCGCCAGCGCCCAACTTTCCACCATCTATTCAATGTCTTTTCTGCTGCAGAATCACAGAGCCCAGGAAACCTGTTCCCCTTCACGGAATCAGCCACACTCAACGATCTGCAGGAAGGAGGCTTCAGGGACTGGAGGTGGGGGGTGGGGGGGACGGTAAATTCCTGGCTTGGACCCTGCTTCTCCAACAGGGCGGCTGCTGGTCCGTACACAAGCAGTGCCCTCACCCCACGGCGCTGAACCCGGAGGTACCAGGGCCTGGACACAAGAGCCACCACGAAAGTTAGGGTCGACGCTGGTCCTGTGCGGGTGAAGGTAAAGGGGTCACTTCGGTACTAACCCGGGAAGGCACCCCTTCCCCTGGCCGGGGGGACCACCATCAGAGCCAGCTGGGTCCCGCGACAAAGTGGATTTTGTCTCCTCCCTGCCCCCATTCGCCCCCATTCCGCGGGCGCGCGCGGGCGCACACGCCTCCCGTCCAGTCCATGCCGGCCCGGGCTGCGCACAGCCTCCCCGATGCCCCGGGGGAGTCGCGAGGTGGAGAGGCGCCTCGGCCGGCGCCCGGGGATCCGCCGCGAACTTCGGCTCAGCCGGCCACCACCGCGCCGCCGCCTCTCCCCAAGTGTCAGGTCCGAGCGCGCCGGGAAAACCCTGGAATCCCGGGCCTCTCCCCAGCCCGGTGGCCTGGGGGTGCCCGACGCTGCCCTGACCCGCCCCCACCCCCCACCCCACCCTCACCCCCAGCCCCGCGCGCCCCAGCACCCAGGTCCTGGGCGAGCGCCAGCCCACTGGGGGCGGAGGGCGAGGGCCACGAGTTCACGGGTGAAACCCAAGAAACACCCGAAGTCTGATGAAAGTTCCCGCTCGTGGGGCGGGCTCCCCGAAGTGTGGTCACAGCTCAACACCCCACACCTTCACAGACACACCCCGAACCACCCCCCCCCAACACCCCAGGCTTTTAAACTCCAACCCACGTCGAGAGGGCGCCGGGTGGGCGCGCAGTGCGGTTCCGGGATGGAGGGAACCGGGGCGGGGTCGGGGCGCGGAGGCCACTTACCGGGCGCGGCCGGTGTTCCTCCAGATTTGGGGGTGTGCGGTGTGGGGAAGGGGGGGGGTCCTCCAGTCTCCGACGTGGACCTCGGCGGGGAGAATCTCCGTCTCCAAACTCCAGGGCCCGGCGTCTTCCCTTCGATCGGTGCCACAATCCGAAGCGATCGGTTGGGGGCTCGGAGCGCACGCAGGGCGGCGGTGATGCTGGTGTGGCGGTGCGGGTCTGTACGGTTGGGGTGCGGTGCGTGCTTCCTCCCCGATCTCTCTCCCCGATCGGTTCCCTCGTCCTCCGCTACCTGGTCCGGGTCTCCTTCCTTCCCCCGCAGTGCCACCCGGATCCGGGCCGGCTCCCAGCGAAGTGCGAGCGGAGCCTCCGGCGAGGCTGGAAATAGCGCCGCGCCCGCCCGGCGCCCCGCCCCGTCCTCCCCCCCCCCCCCCTCCCCAACCCCGGCCTGTCCCCACCCCCCCACCCCACCCCCGGGCCCGGGCCCCGCCCCACGGTGCGGGGAGGGGGGAGTGGCGGCGGTGGCAGCGGTGTCCCCGGCGGGAGGAGGAGGGTGGGGGGAATCTCCTGCGCGATCGCTCAGCCCTCCCCGGGAGTTCACGGACACCGCACCCACGCGCGCTCTGCGGCTCCCCGCAGCCCCCTTACTTAACTCCTCCCAAGGAGCCGCCGCTGGGCGCGGTCCGGCGGATGCAGGGGTGAGGGAGGGCGGGTGGGGAAGGGGGGGGACTGCGATGATTGTCTCCAGGATCCCTCGGGTACTGGGCTGCACTCGTGTGAACTGCTTTGGCTCCATTCACACCCCGCAGCCAGAGAGCTGATGGTGTTTGTCTGAGTGATGCCAAGTGAGCACCGGGCTCTGACCTGGCACCGCCGCCGCTGGGGAGGCCCCGGTCGCAGCTGGGTAACCGGGTGGCTGGCTGTGTGTAATCCGGATCCGTGCGCGCGGGATACGGAGGGTGGGAGGCACGGGACTCTGGAGAGCACCGAGAGGCTGGCCCCTGCATCTGTCTTCTTGTGGAATAGGATCGAGGCCTTGTAACTTGTCTCCCTCCATCTCCAGATTCCTGGGTCTCTTGACTCTTTGAACAGTGTTCAATGAACCATCCAAGTTTTCCTTTGAGGGATTCTTCATCTGCTCTACCTGCCACCCCCACCCCCACCCCCATCCCTCTGGGTCATGGGGCTTGAACCCAGGGCCTAGGCACTGTCCTTGATCTCTTTCACGCAAGGCTAGTGCTTTACTACTTTGAGCCACAGCTCCACTTCTGATTCTTCGGTAGTTTATTGGAGAAAGAGTCTCATGGACTTTCCTGCCTGAGCTGGCTTTGAACTGCAATCCTCAGATTTTACCCTCCTGAGCAGCTAGGATCACAGGAGTAAACCACCAGTGCCCAGCTCCTCTTCTTCTTCTTCTTCTCTTCCTCCTCCTCCTCCTCCTCCTCCTCCTCCTCCTCCTCCTCCTCCTCCTCCTCTTCCCCCTTCTCCTCCTCTTCCCCCTCCTCTTCCTCCCTTTTGTACCAGTCCTGGGGTTTGAATTCAGGGTGTCTTCTTTTGCTCAAGACTGGAGCTCTACCACTTGAGCCACAATTCCACTTCTGGCTTTTTTGGTGGTACATGGGAGATAAGAGTCTCCCAGACTTGCTTGCCTGGGCTGGCTTCCAACGGTGAACCTCAGATCTCAGCCTCTTGAGTAGCTAGGACTTACAGTGTGAGCCACCAGCTTGCTCATGCGATTCTTCTTTAAAGTCCCTGTCCTGCCACCAGCCTGAAAGCTGGACCTGTCAAATTCTTCCCCATAGACAAGCAGAATTATAGAGTGGGGGTGCAGCTGGTCCACAGCCACAAAGCATGAGAGCAGAACAGGAATAGAAACCCTGGGCTGTGGATTTTAGTCCTTGCTCTTGGTGAAAATCAGTAGCCCCAGCTTCGGGGGAAGAGGGGAGCTGTATAAATCATTCTCCTCTTCATCTTGAAGGCACATGTAGAAAATTTCAAAACCCTGCAGATACTGGGGCTTGAATTTATGGCCTGGGCTTTGTCCCTTAGCTTTTTCACTCAAGGCTGGCATTCTACCACTGGAGCCAGGCTTTTACTTCTGACTCTTTTTAGTGGCTAATTGGAGGTAAGAGTTTCATGGACCTTTCCTTCCCAGGTTGGCTTCCAACCTGAATCCTCAGATCTCAGCTTCTCTGACAAACTAGGGTTATAGTTGTGAGCCACCAGCATCCAGAGGCTTAGGATAACAAGTTGAAGGTTCTTTCTGATTGTAACTGATGGTTGGCCTGACTCCAGGGAGCTGACCCAAATGAGAGAGGGAGTTGGCGACCAAAATGGACCTATGGCTCTTGAGTGACCAACAAGGGATTGGGGAGGGCATCCTAGCAGGAAGCAGAGCTACTCCTGGGGATAGCCAAGGAACCCCTAGCAATTTGGCCTGGGAGAGGGGCTCCTTAATGCCCCCAGGTAAGCTCAAAGCAAATCAAAACATGCCAAGCCTACGATGATCTTTTTTTAGTCTTTATTCTTGCAACAACAAAGTTAGATTTCCATTTGGGGGATGAGGAAAAGTACCAACAAATTGTTGGAATGGACACATCGGGTTCCAAAGTGGAGCAGCTTCCATGCTGAACATTTCCTCTTCAGCTCTGAGGTCAGACCCCAGGCAGCTCAGGACAGTGTTGTGATCTAACTCTACCCATCCAGTCAGTCACACTTACAATGGAGACAGAGTAAGTACGACATTGAAATCACTGGATCTATAATCCTAGCTACTCAGGAGGCTGAGATCTGAAGATCATTGTTTGAAGCCAGCCTGGGCAGAAAAGTCCATGAAACTCTCATCTCCAATGAACTGACAAAAACTAGAAGTGGAGTTGTAGCCCAAGTGATAGAGAGCTCACCTTGAACAAAAAGCTAAGGGACAATGCCAAGGCCCTGAGTTCAAACTCCAGGCCTGGTTGGGGCAGTGGGGAGGGAGGGGAAGAAGAATTAAAAGGTAGGGAGGAAAGAGCCCAGTGTCAGTGGCTCACGCCTATAATCCTAGCTACTCAGGAGGCTGAGATCTGAGGATCAGTGTTCAAAGCCAGCTTGGGCAGGAAAGTCCACAAGACTCTTATCTCCAATAAAACACCAGAAAACTGGAAGTGGCATTGTGGCTCAAGTGGTAGAGCTCTAGCCTTTAGCTGAAGAGCTGAGGGACAGCACCTGGGCCCAGAGTTCAAGTTCCACAACCAACCAAAAAAGGGTAGGAAGGAAAGTTTCAAAGCAGACAGAACAAGTTTATTTGAAAGCAAAAGGAAAATAAAGGAACAAACTCTTCATAGAGAGAGGCCGTAGAGCTGGGAGTTCAAGGAAATCCTCAGGGAGGGTGGTTAGTATAATAATGGGCTCCTCCAATATGTCCTGGCCTGGGCTTCATTCTGACTGTTTGATGGCTTGTGCATGCACCACCTCAGCTCTTTGCATTGGTTGAGTGGGCATCCAGAGCATTATGGAAAGAAGGAACATTTGCATGGGAACCCAAGGCATTATGGGCATAAGAAGCATTTGAGTGGGAACCCAGGACATTATGAACTGGAAATATCATAGGAAAAAATAAAAATTAAGATCGTCTTCCATTGTGTTTAGAAATCCATTGGCAAGATGAATCTTGTACCTTAGAGCTGGTGGTTCAGGTCTATAATCCTAGCTACTCAAGAGGCTGGGAACCTAGGGAATTTTGGGAAGAAGGGTCATGATGGGCCATGTGTAACATCTGCCATTTTTGTTGGTGGTGGTGGTCCTGGGGCTTGAACTCAGGAACTCCCAGGGCGCTGTCCTTGAGCTTTCTTGGTCAAGACTAGCGCTCTACCACTTTGAGCCACAGCTCCACTTCTGGTTCATTGGAGTTAAGAGTCTCATGAACTTTCCTACTTGGGCTGGCTTTGAACCAGGGTCCTTAGATCTCAGACTCCTGAGTAGCTAGAATGATAGGCATGAACCATTAGCACCTGGCTTACATATAGATAGATAGATAGATAGATAGATAGATAGATAGATAGATAGATATACATATTTTTTTTTTTGGTCTGGTCGTGGGACCTGAACTCTGGGCCTAGGCACTATCCCTCAGCTCTTCAGCTCAAGGCTAGTGCTCTACCACTTGAGCCACAGCACTACTTCTGGCTTTTTTCTTTTTGCTTATGTGGTGCTGAGGAATCGAACCCAGGGCTCCAGGCATGCAAGGCAAGTGCTCTACCACTGAGCTACCTTCCCAGCCCGCCAATATATTTTTTTCTATTCTGGTCTACCTAATGGGGGAAGCCTAGCTGTCCAGGGATTCTCTTGCACATTCCAGAAGGCAAGTCTTGCACACAGGAAAACACACACACACACACACACACACATGCACCCACATACACACATGCCAGTGTGGACAGAAGAGGAATCCCCATACCCACAGTCCAGCCTCAAAGCAGGGAAGAGGCTGTGGACGGTGAGATTTGACATCATGATTGGTCCCAGATCTGTGGCCAGGGCCAGTTTAGGCCATCTCAGCCGCCCTGTGCGTCTGTGTGCAGAAGTCCTTTTGGGAAAAGTGCTTTCTCCATTAGCTTTTCCAACTGTACTTATTAGCACTTATTTGCATCTAATATTCTTGCAGATACCACTAGGAATCAACAATGCCGCCTTGCTTTGTGCCATTCTCCACATTTTCCATTTTTCACTCAGACTTCCGTCTTGTTTTGAGAGAGCCTCCAGGGAAAATCCCTAAAGGAGGCCCGGGGCCCCTGGCACGAACAGGCAATGAGTTTTCCTCCGAGATTTGCCAAGGGCTGTGTGCCCTTTTTTCAAAGTCAGGCTCAGCCTCTGCAGTGAGGGAGGTGGAAAGGCTCTGCAAATCCTTTTATAAAGCCCTGTGTGCTCCCTTGCAGATGTGTGTGTGTGTGTGTGTGTATGTGTGTGTGTGTGTGTGTGTGCGCGCACGCGCGTGCGCGTCAGTACTGGGGCTTGGGCACTGTCTTTTAGCTTTTTCCCTCAAGGCTGGTGCTCTACCACTTGAGCCACACCTCCACTTCTGTTTTTTTTTTCTTGCGGTTGTTATTGTTGTTGGTTGTAGGGCTTGAAGTTGGGGCCTGGACACTCCTTTGACTGAGATTTTTCTGCTCTAGGTTAGTGCTCTACCACTTGAGCCATACTTCCATTTCCGGTTTTCTGGTGCTTTATTGGAGATAGTCTCATGGACTCTTCGGATCTCAGCTTCTTGTGTAGCTAAGGATTATAGGCATGAGACACTAGTGTCCAGCTGGTTCTGACTTTTTGATGGTTGATTGG